TAGATTGCCTCACATGACGGATATAAGCTACAATTGCCACGCTTGCAGGTGGTATGGCAATATCAGGTTTTTATTATTTTGAGCTGTTATCAGAAGGATGTTGTTACCTGTATACGGTTTCTATTTCCTCTATCGCCTCCTACGACACTCCACGGGACACCAATCTGGTGTGCGGATTATCTTATTTATAATTTATATAACCGCTACACGCCGTATATAAATTATTTTCCTTAATTTGTAAGCAACCGTTTCTTTTAACAAAGCCATTCGCTATAAAAATTTAAGCTAGTTTGTTAAAACTACATGAAACAAAAATACATTAAAAAATTATTTATTTAAAATTTTAATAAAGCCAAGAAACTCCTAAGAGGAACTGTTTTGGAAACTAAAGATAAACAATACTATGCAAATTCGAAACCAAAGCAGTCACTTGTATTATTTTTTATCCAATATTACTGCCTGTAAAAAAATAAGTCACGGATTCACACAGCCATTTGCCTTTCGCATCTGGCACCAATGAGGTCCAAGGTCTCCTGTCTCTGAACTGAGCAAAAATGCTCGGCTATTCAATCGTCACTAATCAAGATTAACTAGAGATTGTTACTTTAATGCATTGTATTGAATTTTCGTTGTTAATTTTTCATAAAACGTGTGTGAGACATAGGAGAATATGGGTACCTCCATAAATGTAACGTACGTATTAACTAGAAACTAAAATTTAATAACCCATTTAGACTACTTGACATTTACATTACATTTCACATACAACTCATTTTGAGTTTGTATTGGCTCAGGGCCGTGCTTTCTGGCAATCTACAAACAAGACCTATCTTCAGTAGTAGAATTTTGGAAGGCTGAAATGATGACGATGATGATAATGAATAGATGCCACTTTAACAAAATCAGTACTTTTCATATTTCAAACTAATATCAGTAACTTTGATGAAAAATTCCTAAAAGTTCTATAATTTATATCATGATTTATATTAACGCAAACACTAGACATTGAATGAAAATATTTTTACTGATTTTAACGCGTTAAAATCCCCAAAAATAGTTTTATTCGTGGTAGAGTCATGCTACAGTTATAATACAGTAGTAAAACGAATGGATCGGCACGGCCAGGGATCGAACACGTTCTCTCAGAATACTAGCGTGAAATAGAAGTTTCAACTTAATCGCAGCTGTGTTTCGTATGGCACGTGTAAATAACCAGAAACCTTTTTTTACTGGAAACGAGGTATTCCATCTTATCCATCTTAGTCCTCGGGGGTGACAGCGTTTCTGCATTTTGTTTCTTATATTATTGATCCACAGCATCCACTTGCCAGCGGGTGAACTTTGTGCTTGTTTGTTGTCATGTTATTTTATAAAATAAAATAAAATATTCGAGATGATATAAAGTAATAAAATAATAAAAATCCTGGGACTAAGCAATTATTTGCTTAAGATGTCCTGCTGACTGCCGAAGTTATCAAGGCGTTGAACTTCCGACTCGGAAAATATATTATCAACCGTAAAACCAATAACGTAATAAATAATTAGTAACATCAAATTATTTTCGTGTTTGTAGGTTTACCAATTTTCATGAATTCATGTGGCAACGTTTGTTTCTACTTCTAATACTTAAAACTAGCCCAATTATGACTTTACCAAATGTAAATGGGTTATAGCTTCCGAAAGATGCTTCAAAACCGTCTCTAAACCAGACCTAAAATATTTACGCTTTACGCACACGTACACGCATTTTTAAATCAAATTTGGAATAAAATACCCAGATCAAGACAGTGAACATATGTACTCATAGATAAATAAAAAATCGATGGTGCAGTAAGATAATGTCTCATATCTCTGTGTACACGACAAGAAATATCACTCTATACATCTTCAAACTGTTGAAATTTCTTTACAAAGCCATTCGCTATAAAATCAGGGCTGTGTGCCTTCAAATCCATATCAAAATATAAAGGATATATATCGTCAAATATATATCGATAATTGCATCTCTATCAACTCCAACTTAATACGTTCTAATTTTCAAATGGTTCATTTTGTTTCCCGGTTTCTATTGTTTCAGATACATTTTCTTTCTGTGCAATCTCTTGTGTCTGTGAAAAAATTATTGTTGTCTTTCTAAAATTAAACCGTATAAAGCTTGATAAATCACTGATTGAAACTAGTTATTTTATCACGTTTATACGTGACTTATTTTATTTTCCTTATGTTTCAAGAACTTTTAGCCATGGTCTGGAGCAATTAAAAGTGTTCAATGTCCGAATATATCGTAGTAAACGAGTTAGTTATCTTCAACATAAAATTATTAATTATTAATCCAACCAACGCAGAAAGAAGCCATGCAATAGTTTTCGCCTAAATATAGGACATTATTATTGATAAAACTTTATGAATTGCTGTTGAAATAATATAATTAGGAAACTCTCATATATTTTATTACAACTACCACTACGTTGAATTTTTTATTTATAATCTGTTTAAACTTTTTTTGTTGCCATCAGTACTATTATCTTCCGATAAAGATATTATATCTATCCGTATCTCTAAGAAGGTAATCAACGGAACAAGTCGATTGGCAATGCAGAAAAAATTAGGATTATGAGTACTAAATAGTGGGCAAAGTTTATGTAAAATCACAACTTCACGATTTTTGACGTAGCTGTTTTGTAAAAAGGTACACGGCCGTTATATCAGTAGTTAGCGCTCGCGCTTAGTCCACTATCCTTTTTTTATAGTCGGTGAGAGTGATGGCTGCCGTATGCGATATACTTAATTCGTCCCTCTCCCTTCCACCATCGGACAACGAGACGATCTGCTAATTTCTACACTTTCGTGAAACGAAATCAACATACTTACCACGCATTCGTACCAAACCTTTTGTTACATCGTTCGTCAAGCGTACAGCAAAGCAGCAGCATCTGTCTTTCCATCTGATTACAATGTGGGCATCTTCATGGCAAGAGTCAATAGGAATTTTTTTAATCAGTGCGCTCCACCATCTTAGGCTACATCGTCACTTACCATCAGGTGCGATTGTAGCTAAGCGCTGGCTTAGATTATCAAAAATCTTGTGAACAGCTGCTTGTGGTGACTGGTCATACACTGATAACTCCAAAATTTTAATGGCACTTTTTTTGAGTCCGTCACAGAACATATTTCGGTTACCGATGGGTCTGTTATAATTTTCAATTCTGGGTAAACTATGTTATGTTATATTAAAAAAAAATACCATAAAATATACCTGTGGGGATTTCGTTTCGACATTTGTTATCCGATCAGAGGAATTTCATTTCTTAACGAAAGTAGATTTATAAAAATGGCAATTGAGAAATAAAATATAAAAATTTAAATTATCAAGGGCCCCGTGGTGAAGTGGCTTAGCGATAAGTTATGGTGCTGAGGGCCGCGGGTTCGAATCTCGCACGGATCAAGTATTTGTTTGACCTACAAGTAATTATTCCCAGTCTTGATGTTTGTGCAATTTATGTTTATGAATGTAGTTTCTCCACGATACAGGAGGAAATTATAGTGTGGGGTAACTTTTTTAACAAGAATAACGAGAAAAGAAGAAACTTCTTGTTAAATGTTAAATTTAAATGTCTTTGAAATTAATACATTTCGTTTCATTTGTTACGCTTTTGATAATAACATAGAACCACGGAGTTGAAAGCTTATAAAATAGTACAAATCGGCCGAAAGAATAGTGAATTAGTTTCAAGAAAAATCCTATCTACTATTTATACGTGGTAGAATCAAGCAGCAGCTAACCCCTCATTACGATAGTGGTTCAAGGCGAGGTTCGTACCTCCTTCAGAGGGGCCCTTGAATCACATCGAACCCGCCCCTAGCTAGAGGAGCCTCATTCCAAAAGCAGGGGCTGGGGCGCCTCGGGGCTGGAGTCAGCGAAGCGGCGCTTCGCGCCTCGCTGACGGCAGAATTGTTGCACTTAACAGCTCGTAAGTCCTCGCTTACAAGTCTATTTCGATGAAGCTCTAAAAGGCCGCAGTGCCAACAGCATACGATTTCGGGAAAAAGCTGCAGCTATATTAGTTACTACTAATATAGATGCAGTTGTAACACGAATGGGTCAGTTCGACCAGGGAATGATCACACTCTCACAGAATACCAGCGTGAAATAATAGCTTGTTTCGTATGGTGTGTGTAGAGAGCCGGAGACTCTTTTTACTGGAAACGAGGCATTCCATATTAGTCTTCACGGGTGACAACGCATCTACCTTTTGATTCGTATTCGAGGATAGATATAGATGTCTATAGGTCACAGCAACCACTTACCATCAAGTGGACTATGTGCTCGTTTAACTCCCTATCGTATAAAAGAAAAATTATACGTACAGGGTACACGTATATGACGAAGTAATACTACACTACGAGTATCTATACTAATATTTTCAATGTGAATGTTTGCGGAAATACGTTGGATGTTAGTTAATAACAAAAAATTCAAACCAGTCAGAAACTCAGCTGAAAAAAAGAAAAAAAAAAAGATCCCGTATATGCTTAATAGATTTCGACAAACATATAGAGCATGTAGTGAATTTTCTATTTTCACGCCAATAGAATACGCGAGCAAAAGCTAGTTATAAAGACATTAGTGACAGACTTTTCTAATTAAAAAGTTACTCCAGTCTTTCTCACGTCACCGAATTTGTAAAATAAATAATTTACGATAAAAGTTGCAATTTATGTCATTAATTATAGGTTTTAATCAACACATGTTTGACAATATGTTTTGATCAAACGTAATTATTTTTATTATTTACTAATGTTTAAACTTTTACTTTTACTTTTGATTAACAATTCAACGAAACAGTTTTAGATGAAAAATCCGCATATTCTTTTAATTTTTGAACGATATTCTTAATAAAGTGGCAACTTACTAAGTAACAACTTGTTTATCACAGATATTTTGAAATCAATCGACAATTTTTTTTAAAAACCACACATTAAAATTCACAGTGACATACCGACGCCGGCGATCACATACTGCCGCCACAACTGTCCCGCCTCCATCCTGTACGATTGTTGGTTGACTGGCGCTCCGGTCCCAACCGGGTCTTAAGCGTAGTTCCTATCGGCCATACGTCACACGACGTCACACTGTGATGCACTGCAATGGGGGTGAGGAATTTAGATATATTATTAATGTAAATATATATATATATATATATATATATATATATATATATATATATATATATATATATATATATAAAATACTATCTTCTTGTCAGTTATTTTAGAAGGTATTAATGAGAAGTGTCGTGCTCTAATCGCCTGATTCCTAAACATAGATTTAAGTTTGAATAGATGTGAATCAAACTATATCATATATTTTTATACAGTAAGTGTGACAAGCACACAGTCCACCCGATGGTAAGTGCATGTTGTGGCCCATGGACATCTTCATCTGTTCTCGATTAAGAATCAAAATGTAGATGTGTCACCACTGAGGACTAAGCTGGATTGACTCGTTTCCTGTAAAAAGGGGAAAACCCTCACTCACCGTATGAACCAGCAGTAATTGGTTACTATTTTACGCTGGTATTTTGTGACAGCATGGTTCTACCCCGGTTGAGCTGACCTATTCGTGATACAACTATAGTATAACTGTAACCTGGCGCTACCCCGTTCAAATTATGTTCAAATTATATTTAAAAAAATAAAAATATTTTCTACAACTTCAACATCATTATATTTCAGTCCACAAGTCTACAACGGGATATTGTACTCCCCCGAGGACTCATCACCGTGCTGAGCTATCTGCGTCTATAGATTCCCTGCACGTCCATTTGAGTTACCACGTCATTTAATGGGGAAATGCTCTATGTAGCGCCTGCTGGTACGCGATAGTCACTCCGGAACCTTTTTCTCCTTAGGTTTTCTGTACTTCGAGCCAAATTATTTCCACGTGGTGCAGACGTGGACAGCCCATTCTGTCCACGTCTGCAGCAGTCTGATGATCCATTGTACTATATTGGTTTGTAGTCTCTTATTAATGTGTATATTCCCGTCGCGGCTTCTGTCTTGCAAAGAAACTTGGTGCATTGCTCTCTCAATGTCAAATATGTTTCTCCAAACTATCTTAATGAAGAATGAAGAAGTTTCAAGACATACATTTTTTATTTAAAGAATAATTATAAAATATTTTCCTACTTTTTTGTATAGTTTTATTAAGGGTTATTTGAATTATAGGTTATAGGTTGTAAAGGTTGTTTATGTACATAAATACTTATGGGTTGTATAATATCAACGCAAAACTAGGCACAAGAGAAAACGGTGAGCTGAAGTTAGGGAAATTTGGAGTAGGGAAACGGAAACGAAGGGGCCAGCAGCTGGCCGACTTTATGGAGAAAGAGGGACTCTTTATGATGAACTCTTTCTTCCAGAAGCGGCCCCACAGGAAGTGGACCTGGTCGAGCCCCGAAGGTTCGACAAAAAATGAGATTGACTTCATTATGACGACCAGACGCCAACTGTTCAGTGATGTCTCAGTGATCGCAAGGGTGAAAACTGGCAGCGATCACCGAACGGTTAGAGGCACACTGAACCTAAACGTTAAGTTGGAGAGGTTTCGTCTAATGAAGTCAACGCTCCGTCCCCCTCGTGCTCTAATACAGAATCCCGAAAACTTTCAGCTCGAGTTAAGTAACCGCTTTCAGTGCCTACAAGATTGCAATGCAATGGACGATATGAATGACAAGCTCGTGGAAACTGTCCATGCGGTCGGAGCTAAGTTCTGCAAGACCCGCCGCAGAAGAACACAAAAACTCTCCGATCACACTCTTAATCTCATGGCTGTTAGACGGGAGATAAGGCTGCAATCGTCAACAGATTTGACAGCATACAGGCAACTGAACAGACAGATCTCCAAATGCATGCGGCGAGACTTACGCAACTTTAATACTGCTTGTATTAAAGAAGCAATCGAGCGGAACCAGGGCTCCAAAGTATTTGCCAGAGATCTGTCTGCCAGAAAGAGTCAACTGTCAAAGCTGATGACTGAGTGTGGCAGCATCGTTTCCGGGACACCCGAGATTTTGAGTGAGATTGAGAGATTCTATGGGCAGCTGTACACTTCATCGTTGGAGCCACATGCAAGTGTGAGTAACGATCCAAGAGCAAGTCTTATCCGACACTATTCCGATGATATCCCGGACGTCAGTCTAAGTGAGATTAGAATGGCTCTCCAGCACCTTAAAAACGGCAGGGCCCCAGGCGAGGATGGAATTGCAGCGGAGCTTCTGAAAGCGGGTGGAACACCGGTACTTGAAGTCCTTCAGAAGCTCTTCAATTCCATCCTCCATGGTGGCACTACTTCAGAGGCTTGGAGCAGAAGTGCGGTGGTCTTGTTCTTTAAGAAAGGCGACAACGCTCTCTTGAAGAACTACAGAACGATTTCCCTTCTGAGCCGCGTCTACGTGCTGTTTTTGAGAGTCATTTCGAATCGTCTCGCACGCAGACTCGACGACTTCCAGCCTCCCGAACAAGCCGGTTTCCGAAAAGGCTTCAGTACCATAGACCACATACATACCCTGCGGCAGATTGTACAGAAGACTGAAGAGTACAATCTGCCACTTTGCCTGGAGTATGTGGACTATGAGAAAGCCTTTGATTCCGTCGAAATTTGGGCGGTGCTACAGTCCCTTCAGCGGTGCCAAGTTGACTGTCGGTATATTGAAGTGCTGAAGTGTTTGAACAGTAGGGCTACGATGGCTATCCGAGTACAGAACCAGAGCTCGAAACCTATCCAACTGCAGAGAGGTGTAAGACAGGGTGATGTTATATCCCCGAAACTCTTCACCGCTGCGTTGGAAGACGTTTTCAAGCTACTGGACTGGAAAGGATACGGTATTAACATCAATGGCGAGTATATCACTCACCTTCGATTTGCCGACGATATAATCCTTATGGCAGAATCGCTAGAGGACCTTAGTACTATGCTCAATGACCTCAATGGTGTCTCCCAACGGATAGGTCTTAAGATGAACATGGACAAAACAAAGATCATGTTTAACGTTCATGTCACACCTATGTCGGTAGTTGTTGGGAGCACTATGCTCGAAGTTGTTGACGAGTACGTTTACCTACGACAAATAGTCCGACTAGGTAAGTCCAACTTCGACCGAGAGGTCAATCGACGGATTCAACTCGGCTGGGCAGCGTTCGGGAAATTACGACACATCTTCTCGTCAGGTATACCTCAATCTCTAAAAACTGGATTGTACAACCAGTGCGTGTTGCCAGTGATGACTTACGGATCTGAGATGTGGTCCTTCACTGCTGGCCGTATGAGGACGCTCAAGGTCGCTCAGCGAGCTATGGAGAGGGCTATGCTCGGAGTTTCTCTGCGTGATAGACTCAGAAATGAGGATATCCGCAGTAAAATCAGAGTGACCGACATAGCCCAACGGATTAATAAGCTGAAGTGGCAATGGGCCGGCCATATAGCTCGAAGAACCGATAACCGATGGGGAAGAAAGGTTCTCGAGTGGCAGCCCTCGTACCGGTAGGCGTAGTGTAGGGCGACCCCCCACTAGATGGAGTGACGACCTGGTAAGATATGCAGGAAGTCGATGGATGCAGGTGGCTCAGGACCGTGCTTTGTGGCATTACTTGGGGGAGGCCTATGTTCAGCAGTGGAATTGTGAAGGGCTGTAATAATGATGATGATGATGATGTATATTATCGAAAGTAATAATTATTTGTTTAATATCGAAAGAAGGAATTTTAATAGTTGTCACGTCGCGCATTTAAAATGTATGTACATAAAACAAAATAAAATAAAATAAAAAGTTTTTATTTGCCACACAAAAATACAACGTTAAAATTTAAACAGACAACTTAATAATTAGTTCATTAGTTGTGACAAAACGGTCTGTGATTCAGTTGTAACGGGAAACCCATTACTCCTGCCATTCTGCTACAGCTTTTCCGCATAATTCACACAGTGTCTTAGGAAATTGATGAAACACACGCATCAACAATAACTAAGTAAGAATAAAAGTAATAAAGAAGGGGAATATAATAATCACTGGGACCGATCCATCATCACAGACAGGACTATTCTTGCGAATAAGCCTGATATTGTGCTGATGGATCGGGCACAGTCAAGGATATTTTTGGTCGACATTACCATTCCGTATGACGAGAATCTCGTGAAAGCCGAAACAGATAAGCAATCAAAATATCTGGACCTGGCTCACGAGGTGACTGACATGTGGCGTGGTCTGCCGACCGAAATTATTCATGTAGTCGTGTCTGCAAACGGGTTAATCCCAGCCAGCCTTTCGGGCCATCTGCGGCGACTGGGACTCCGTGTGGGACCGCTCCGGGCTCAAATGCAGAAGGCGGTGCTCCTCGATACCGCCCGCATCGTCCGCCGGTTTCTTTCCCTTTCCCCCTAACTCTCGGCCGTTTGGTCTCCGCTGCCGAGGGCTTCCATCTGGTTGGCTTTTATTTATTTATGTATTATTTATTTATTTATGTTAGTATATTAAATATGTATTTACGTATATTTATTTTCCCTTTTATATATTTATCCAGCCCAAGCAGACGTGATTACCCTATCAATAACCCAAAATAATGAAGTAATAATATAAATAAAACAATTAATAAATTATAGTTGCTAAATACAAAAAAAAAGTTATCTAATTTGTGGGGGTATCAAAGCCACATAGAGCCAGGGACTGTTTTTGAATAAGCCACTTGCGACATCTTTTTCGGAACGTAGACGGAAATAGGGTAGATCGGACTGGTGGTGGCAAATCGTTTCAAATTTTAGCAGCGGCAAATTTAAAACACCCTTTAGCCGATGACTATTTTCTCTGACTGAAAGCAAACTTTTTTTTCAACGGCTATCTTATCACACAGATAACTTGGAGACTTTGCGTGATGCAGAGTGTGCAGAAAGAAAGTATATTTTAACTTAGTACTATTACACATATTTAAAATGCCATTATTGACTAAAAAAACATAACAATAAAATACCAGGAGCAATGATCCGTCGACGG